AATAAGGCACCTGCAGGTATATGATTTTCAAGTTAACTATGCCATTCCTGCTCCTTGGACTGAGGCTTCGATACGTGAGTCCATCTTTACTGGCAGGGTTAGTCCCACAGGGTGGGGACAGGCTGTGTGCATTCCAGCGCCTTAGGGCTGGCTTAACTGAACACCTGCATGCTTGCCCTCTGTCCCTAGTCCGCACTGGGGACAGGTAAAAGACAGTGACTCTCAGGAAAGAAGTAAGAAACTGTTTTGGAGGGATGGAATGGTGTAGGGATGTGGCTTAGCTGCTAGACTGCTTCCCCAGCATGCACAAAGGCCTGGGTTGGGTCCCCAGTGCTGGACACACTCCCGCACTCAGGAGGTGGATGCAGGATGACCACACATTCAAGGGGGTCCTTAGCTACAGATGGAGTTTGAGGGAAGTCTGGTGTCTCAAAGAAAATTCATTTTTTAAAAAGAGCCCTGCAAATATTGAGAGTTTCCACCACCAGGAACCGGAAATGCACCTTTGCTTGCCGTCTACCACTGAGGTGAACAATGCCACCATGTTCTGCTACCATGATGTTCCAACTTCGCAACAGAACTACAGGACTTCGGGACATGGACTCTGGAGCCCATGGAATCATAAGCTAAACAACTTTCTTCTGCTAAAAGGAAAGAATGAGATGGAAAGGCAAGGGTGGGAGGAGAGAGATGGGGGGGTTGGGAGGAGGAAACATCAGCAGCCGCAGCTTGTTTCCAGCCAAATTAGTTCCGTCTATCAACACCCTCAACAGTGTGCTCTGCTAATGAAGTAGCTGTGCTAACTGATTTCATTATTGGAGCACACAGGGCAAGTCTTTCCCATGAGCCTGTAACTACTCTGAATGCTGACTACGCCCTGAGAACTCAACACTGACCACATACTTTCCAGCGCTGAGTTAGTCAGGACCCGTGTCCTGAGAGAATAAGAAACAGGGTGGTTGTTTCCAGTGTAGGGTCCACTGGGCATTTATTTCTGTAACGGTCTGGTTTCTTGGTTCCACTCCCAACATTCTCACGGCTTTCTGACACTTGAGACCAGGTCTCTAAAAAAAAAATTTCATTTGCCACTGGTTCCCTCTTCTCCCAGAAGGGGATGCTAGAGAGCCACAAGGCTCCTTCCTGTTCAAATCAGCCACACCCAGGCAGATTTGGGAGCAGTTCCAGTCCCAAACCTAGATCCATCACATCCTGAGAGAGGCCACCTCCTCACCCCCAGAGGCTCCTGCAGTGCTCCCCAAGCAGCGCTGTGGGGATCTCTTGGGCTGCTGTTTATTCCTCTTCCTCCTCCTCCTCCTCCTCCTTTTTTTTTTTTTTTTCAAGACAGGGTTTCTCTGTATAGCCCTGGCTGTCCTGGAACTCACTATGTAGATCAGGCTGGCCTTAAACCCAAGAGTTACGCCTGCCTCCTCAGTGCTGGGATTAAAGGGGTGCACACCAATGCCTGGAATTATCTTAAGCTTCTAAATTGGGATAATTCCTCTTTCTTGAGCCCTCTCAACCCAAGAATAAACACACCTGTTTCCTGTATCCCACCAAGATAGTCGATCTGTTCTGTGTTGTTCTATCGACTTCATAAAAAGTTAAATTAGCTGTTAAAATAGCTTATAGAGTTTCTGTATTTATCCATATTGCTTTAAAAAAAATCTTAGGGCTGGAGAGGAGGCTCAGCCATTAAAGAAAGGCTGAGCTCACAACCAAAAATATAAAGAAGCATTTAAGTTTTTAAGTATGTGTGTGAGAGAGGCTACATGCACATGGCTGCAGTGACGGTGGGGGGCAGAAGAGGAAGCTGGAGGTTGAGGTTGTTGCGAGCCCCCGGCATGGGTGCTGCACCTTCTGCAAGAGGCGTATGTGCTAACCACTGAGCTGTCTCTCCAGCCCCTTCTGCTTTAAGATAGAGTCTGGTATGTAACCCAGGCAGGTCTACAGCTGAAGAGCCCTCCCACCTCTTCGTCCTGAGTGCTGGGTGTGCACCAGCACACACTCTGCTTGCTCTGGCAATCACTAGAGCTGACTCTGAAAGTAGCTGAGCTGGAGTCCGTCTGTGTTGCCCACCATATCTGGTACCTGGGGAAACTACAATCTGCTCCCCTAGGTCCATTTTCCTTTGTATAATTTATATTGCACACCCGAGTGCCTGGCACTGGGCTAAGCACATACCTACAATGGTATGCAAAACAAATTCCCTGGCAATCCCCACCCCCAAAATCTTCTTGTATTAACTGAATGAGAAGATATGGGTGACTTTAGCCCACCACAAAGGCACACTGTCACAGGCCTCCTTTCCAAGCTGTGACAGCAGATCAAAGAGTTTTGAAGGAAGAAGAGTTTCAATAACTGAGTGTCTTTGGAGAATGAGGCAGATGTCTTTTCCCAGCAAGGTGCTGGCCCGGTCAGTATGGCATCGAGAACTCACCGTGTTGTGCCCACGTTCCTCTCCAGAGCACAGAAGCAGTGGCCCTGCAATGGCATTCATTCAGAGAGAAATGGGACAAACCACTCCAGAGAGGGACTACCACAGGTAAAGCTCCAAAGAGACAGTGACCCACGACAGTGAGCATCAGGGGCTGAAAAGACCACCACAGCTGCGATACAGGGCCGGACCTGGCTCCCGAATGGCCACAGAGGAGCGAAGGAAGACTTCCTAAAGTGGGTATTCCAACATTGGTGACTGGAAGGACAGACGAAGTGCTTGCCTGCTGCTGTGGTCTGAACGTGAACTGTCCCCCACAGGTTCATGGGAACACTCGGTTCCCACGTAGTGGCCCTGGAGGAAGTAGGTCACTGGGGGTGGACCTTGAGATTTTACAACACGGCCCCATTTTAGGTCACTGTTTCCTGGCTGCTGGTGCAATGTGACCAGTTGCCACCCATTCCTGCTACCATGCCTTCCTTATCATGACAGACTACATGCCCTAGAGTTGTGAACCAAAACAAAACCTCCCTTCTTTAAGTTCCTTCTTTAAAAAATGTGTGTGTGTGTGTGTGTGTGTGTGTGTTAGGTGTATATGTTTATATGGGTATGTGCACATGTGTATGTGTGTGTGGTAGGTGTTTATGTTCGTGTGGGTATGTGTACCACGTGTGTGTGGCTGTGGTAGGTATGTGCACGCTTGTGCACACGTGTGTGGAAGTCTTCCCTATTGCTCTCCACCTTGCTTTATTTTGAGACACGGTCTCTCATTGAACCTGAAGATCACAGGTTCAGCTAAATTGACTGGTCACTGAGCATTAGGGATCCACTTGTCTACACACACACCAGCTCACCAGCCCTGCACTAGAGCTGCGGACACAAGACGTGAGGCCTGGCTTCAGCACAGGTTCTCGTACCTGTGTGGTGAGCACTGCGCTGACTGAGCCGCCTCACCAGTCCTTCAGCTGCCTCTCGTTAGGTCTTTTTGTCACCGCAGTGTGGAAGGTGACTAAACTAAGTAGTTAGTGATATGGAGCCCGGGGTTGGACTCTTAGCGCCACATAAAATGGGCATTATGGCACACACCTGTAATTCCAGCATCTGGGAGGGAAAGTCAGAAGAGCAGAAGTTCAAGTTTGTCTTCAACTACATTAAGTCTGAGACCAGCCCATCTCAAAAAAGAGGGAGAGGAGGAGAAATCTCAACCACTTTTTGTTTCTGAGGTAGGACTGTAGAGTCATGAAAAGCAAAGGATATGATCAGATGAAAAAGAAAGAGTCAATATTCTACCCTCAGCTGTGGGTAAGAAAGGGCTGGAATGAAATCCAATTTCTCCATTTTGACAGAGACTTTCCTTGGTCTTCTATTGTCTCCATATCAGGCACACAGGGGACAAGGAGCCAATGTTCTTACTACTATGACAGTGTTTGTGTAACCCAGACTCTTGATGGCCACATTTATAACACACTGTACTTTATGTATGCAAACTGAACTCCTCACCTTCACTATTTCACCCATTTTGGCACGATTATGGCCATCAAACGTCACAGTAAACGAGAGTCAGCCACGGGAAATTATTATTAGAAGGCCTATTCCATATCCTCGCTCTAGGGCCTTGTTATAAGTAATTTACTGTCACTGAAGAATGCGGAGTCCATAAGGCATGGAAAGCCTGGGGAGAGATTTACTCATAAATAAATGCCAACGCTTAAACAATAATGACAGCTTCAAACTCCAGGACGACTGAAATGAACAATATATGCCGCCTGGCTGATTTATTACCGCGGTGGTTAGGGTCCAAATGGCGAGATAATTCAATTCCACCTGAGGAGTCGTTACACGACCGAGCCTAAGAGAAGTGCTTTGGGTAAGAGGCGATATTTCTCAGGTTTTCCATTTCAAACAAATTATTTCTGTATTTAGGGTATCATTCAGGCAATTCCTTTCATGATTTGTAGCACTCTTGGGCAATTAAAATAATGATAAGGTGAGAGAACTCAGGGACAAACGCCAAATCCAATGTGATCACAGAATACTGAAGGAGCCCGGGAGCAGGCTGACGGCTTGATACAGGGCAAAAGGATCCTTCCTAGGCAAGGAAACCATAACTGAGCTGTGAGCCTGCACAGCAGCAAGAAGATTCCTCAGCAGGAGCAACTGCTAAGGACAGATTCCCTCCAAACTGTGCTCCTAACAGACGTGTGCACAGGCATCTCCCAGGGAAGTGGAGTTTATAATAAGCAGCGTCTCACTGCCCATGGCAGCTCCCCCTTACCAGCTCATACATTTATACCAGTCTTGGTGTGGGATCTATTTGGGGATTTTTATTTCTTTTGTGTGTAGGGGGAGTGGGGGTGGGGGGAGCAGGAGCTCACCTAGCCCAGGCTAGCTAGCCTCAAACTCATTTGGTAGCTGGAAGTGGCCTTTAATGCATGGTTCTCCTGCCTCCATCTCTAGAGTGCTGGGGTTACAAGCATAAGCCACCACATTAGCTGAGGACACCCACTAGCAGGGAAGGGCAGAGTGGTCCTGGCCGGTCAGAGCAGGAGTCCCCAGGTTTACGTACCATCCAGGCCATTGTGATGACTGTAGTTTCTTTTCCCCAGAATGCTCAGAGACGTGTGATTCGGAGTGGTGAGCATCCGCTTGGTGGTTGGAGTTTGCAGGCTCGGTGGAGATCGAATTACATTAGGTTTCTTTGCAGGATGGATCTCTGACAGGGGGGAAAAAGGCTGATCAGCTCAGAACATGGTATTGGAAATCTGTATGGACTCTAACGCCAGCTAATAGGCATACATCTTTCTTAATGAGCTGAGAGTTCTTCCTTAGGAGCCAGCCATGCACTTGCATAATGAGGTAGCTTCAAGTGTTGTTACCATGGCTCTGCTTATCAAGGGAACCGGCTCCTCCCCTGCTGGCTGGGGCTCTGAGCCTCACTTGGGTTGTGAAGACAAACAGAAAAGCCCACTTCTGAAGGTCACTTGCAAGCGTGAGATTTGCTAAGGGAATATAGCACCTGGCTCCTCAGCACATCAGAAATCTGAAGATCAACTGCAGGGGCAGCCTCAGAAAGCCCCACCCCCGCGCTCTGTCCACCAGGAACATGCAGGCCCATCTGGTGTGTGAGCGTTCTAGAAATCAGATTCCTCCTCTGGCTGTGCAGTCAGCAGGTCTGGGACCAGCCCTGAATACCCTTAAGCCAGAACATTTCCATAAGGGATGAAATTTGAAACCGAAGGTCAAACACCACAGTTAAACCATAGATGGCACACTTTGACCCAGGCCATGTCACAACGCTGTAATGTGTTCACGGTGCTTGGTTAAGGGTCTTTACTGTGTGCCGCAGAGCCCACCTGTTCTCTCCACAGACATGCAGAAACTGCAGTACCACGGGAAGTGATTTAAAGACCTCTGGCCATTGTTAGTATGAATACCCCTGCTCCAAAGCTTCACCCGTTTGCTGGTCCTCAGAGTTGTTACCTAGCACATCAACTACACTCAAACCAGCCTGTCCTCTCGCCTGTTCAATGTGAGGGCCAAAACAGCCAGATTTACAGAAATGTAGGAAGTTACTCAGACTGTTAGAACAACTATACAACTAGGTCTAATCAAAATCTTACAATTGTCAAATTTTAGGTATGGCTTGGCAGTACCATCCGAAACTAACACTGTCTTCCAACAGGGTACCGATGGCTCACCAGCCTTACTTCACCCTGAGGGAGACAATGAATTCCCTTAACCTTGGGTGCACTGAAGCCTTTGTCTCTCTAGTTCTTTCAACCTTGTGAGGTGTGAGACTATTGTTCCTATTTTTTTTTTCATCCATTCAAAACCTACAAAATTTTCAAGGCTAAGATAAACTACTACTGCTTCCAAGAAGGCAAACCTAGCACTCGCCAGAGATAACCATGCCCAGGGCGGGGGCACAGCACTTGCCTGTCATGCGTGGAGGCCTGGGCTCAATTCCCCGATCCCCTCACCCCCCCACACACACAAATCCTCCCTCCATGCGCCCAGTGCATTAAAGTCTCTAATTTATCACATCTAATGCTTTGTTTGATTGATTTTGCTGTGTGCTTTCCCCACCTAACTAAAAGTTTTGAAGGCAAGGTTTTATTTATTTGGTGTCCCCCAAATTATATTCTACAGCATCTGGAATACAGCACATACAGAGATGGGGCTCGGCTCAGTTGGTGAGGGTGGAGGAACAGTTGGGACTTATCTGGTAGGGAGAGGGGTAAGTTTGCCCACAGGAGAAAGGCACAGAAGGCGGTCTACCCTGCAGTACTTAACTCTTTCCTTGCCAGGTGGGAAGGGGCTCCCAGGGGCTGGTCCCGGAAGAGACTATAACAGCCCCTTCAAGCACCATTACCCAGCACGTGCTGATAACCATGTGATGCGCGGGAAGACGAGAAAACAAGCCTTGCTTTTCTTCTGTAACGTGTTTGGAGACCAGAACTCCTGCAGCTGAGGCTGACCTTGAACTCCTAACCCTCCCTAGTGCGAGAACTAGACAGGTATTCCATGGTTATTTTATTTTATTTAGGCAGGGTCTTGTGTAAGCCAGGCTGGCTTGTACTCACTACGAAGCTGATACTTCCAACTCTTTAACCTTTGAGATCTAAAACAAGAGCTGAGGTGGCCGAGTAACATCAAGGATGGAGCTGTGGGCTTCCCATCAGACAGCACAGCCCAGTTCAAGGGCACCCTTTGATTTTTCAAAGATTAGATGCCTGAAGTCTGAATACTTCAAACACATAAGACTTCCTGACGGCAAAATAAGGTTCAATGGACCTCAGAGTATTTCACCTTTAATGAGAAAATGAAAAAGAAATACTGGAATCTCGAAACATGTGTTCTTACTTCAGAAAGGAAGCTCATTATTTTCTACTCCATTTATCTTATCTTAAAACTTTAGGAAAATGTTATTGCTTAGTAATTCTTAACACTATTCTTAGCTATATTTATTATATACTATATATATTTCAACATGTAAATAGAACCATAATCTTTAAAGATTTCCGAGTCACAGGGCCTGGTATCTGATAGATACCAGAAAACAACAGAAATGCTTCAATTCCAGTACAGTCAGGGCATCAAAGCCACAACGTTCATGTTTCTGAGGCACTGGGATGCAAACCCAGGACACTGTGCATTCTTGGCACATGTTCTACCAGTGAGCTACACACTTCGACTTTATGGGGTGCAGGCTGTTTTGTTACTGTGGTTTTCTGTGGGTTTGCCTTTCGTTTTTGAAGGAGGGCGTTTGCTTTTGGGTTTTGTTTCGAGGCAGGATCTAGTGTAGCCCAAATGGGTCCTGAACTCATTATTTAGCCAAGGTGGACCTGCAACTCCTGGTCCTCTTGTCTCTGCTTTCAGAGCGCTAAGATACAGCCATATGCCACCACTCTTGCTGCTTTGGGTTCTTGAGACAGGGTCTTGCTAGGTAGCACAGGCGGCCTTGAGCTCATGTCTCTGTTGAGTGCTGGGATTACAGGTATGAGTCATTGTGACTGACTGGTTTTTTTCTTAAAGTAAACTGAAAATCAATTTAATTCAGTTTTTAAAACAATCCTCTATTTAAAGGGAAAGGTATGTTAGAGATAGTATAGGGATCTAAATAAAAATTAAAATGTTTAGGATGTTTATCCTGTATTATTGAATAATTTTGAAATACTCCCTCCCTTATTTGTTAGTTTCCTTGTTTTTGTTCTTGTTTTCAGACAGGCTTATGCTAGGTGCCAAGCTGTTCTTGAATTTACAATAATCCTCTGCCCCAATCTCCCAAATGCTAGAATTATAGGCAGAAGCCACCATATGTGACTTTTTCTCTTTTCTTAGACCGTGTCTATAACAGTTAATACAAATTTCAATTCAACAAACAATTAGAAGAAGTAAAGCATATATACTTAACTCCATTCATTGATAATAAGCTTCTAGTCCAAAATAAAACTATATGTATAAAGCACCCGATTTTACCCACATGAGGCCCTGAATGCAGTCCGGGTGCGCATTTGGAGCGGAGAGATGCCTACAACAGGTAAAGATGTCTCTCGAGGTCTTCCTGTGTTAGCAGATACCCACCTAAATACCCAATGATACACGACAAAGGTTTCCTAGTGCTTTTGCCTTTCAGTGGGCTTCCAGAAAGTTCGGCATGCCTGTCTGCATCTGAGGAGAGAAAGAAACACGGGACAACAAGTGAGGTGGCTTCTTCTCGCTTTACCACACCCCACAGAAATGAAAGGTGCAGGTAGAAACAAACACAGAACACCCGCCACATCCCCCTACTTCCTCGGCCTAGAGAAAAGGGTATGAGCTTTGGATCCCTGTACTGAGCCAGGGACTCACAGCGACACTCACAATAATGTCATGTGAGCGTGGGTCTCTCACACCATGTGTGCTCACCTGAAAAGTGATAGAAACAGGCCCCCCTTTGAGTGGTGACATTTTTACATTATGGTAGAAAAATAGTCACAGTACACTCAAGGTGAGACCAAGTCTAATGTAAGATTTATTTGGCTTGAGAAAACCACAAAATGACAAACAACAGCTGGCAATGCAACACAGCCACCACCCATGTTAGCTGGAGTGGGCCCTTCTGACCTATTCTGACAAAACTCAATTCTACTAGACGGCAGCCTGGCAGAGCCATTTGGTTCTATCACTGTTCTGTTCTTCATTTCATACAATGATACTTGGGCTGAGGTTTTAAAGGTTCCTATGTTGATCCGACAGCCACACTGTGAGGGCGGACACTGGGCACTAAGTTTTCGTCCCCTCATAGCCCTACCATAAGATGTTTCAGGAAAGGAAGTAAGGCATACAGCACAAACACCATACTCTAAAAGAGCTGTCGTTAGGATAGAGTCAGCGAAACACTACCACGCCAAAGAACTGAGGTCAACATAGCTGAAGGGACAAAAGAAAACGTGGATGAAATCTTGAAAAAACCAGCCGTTCACAAAGCATCTTGGTGGCTTTAACTATTATGATTATGCTTTGCCCCATCTCCAAATGTATGGCAAACATGTTCTCCGGGTTTTCTGATCCTGCTGGGATCACTCCCAGGCACACATACAGAAGTTGCCTTTGGCATCCACAGGTCTCTGCATTTACTGTCAACACACACGACTCAGTGTGGAACCTTAAACAACTTAAAGACTGACTTTGTCAGGAGCAGTAGCCCTTTCTCATCAAGGAAATGTTTTTAAAAACTATTAAACAGATGGTGGAAATAGCATTTTAAAAAACATTAAAATAGACAAAGCACATGCTGCAGGTAGCTTGGAAACACCAGGAGTTTGAGTCAGCGCCCCAAGCCCTGTTTGCCTATTACATAACGACTGGCAACTATAAATGATCCCATATTTCCCTCGCCACTCAGTTGATCACCTTTGGGAGAATTGCTAAATTGTGAAGTTTTTCACCTGTCCCTGAATAATAATGATGATAAAGGCAGAATTAAGCACATGATTAACAAGCGTATTTAGAAATACAACCTAAAGAAAGATCAGAAGAAGTCCAAACCCTGTACGGATCAAACAATGGTCAAACCACTAAACATTTACACTAAAGTTCCTTCTTCTTATGACAACTTTACCTAAAATTCTAGGCATGTTTGGAAAAGAGATAAGAGGAAATGTTTTTGTTTTTTGTTTTCTTCTCCATTAACTCAAGTAGCCCGAGAGAATCAGCTTGGTAAATTCATCAGCGTTTTGGACAAAGGCACTCTTCTTTGTCCTAGGGACAAGATGAACTTTACCCTTCAGTCTGCACCACCACCAGGGAAACTGTCCCCGTGGCTACAGCTGACAACACCAGGACATTACTATCACTTTGATGAGAGCCAGCAAATGCTTCAAAGACGGTCATCAGCACGGTACCCATGAGGTTCACTTTGAACCACAGCAAGTTGCCTCTAGTTTCTCACACTGGTAGCACCAATTATGTGGCTTCCACCGGGAAAATTTACAAGTTCCCTCTTGAGATCAAAGCTCTCTAGCAGGATCCATATTTCACTAATAAGCCTATTTTAAAGGAAGTTGTTGGTGTTGGCAGTTATCAGTCAATTATAAAGAAATTAGGATAAACCGGGCTAAGACGGCCCTAGCCTTGCTCTAACATAAGAAAAAGGGTAGCCATTCGGTAGCAAAAACACATTCTGGAATGTTCACAAACCGGATTATCTGAGCCACATTGCTGTAATCCTGGTCTACCGGCCAGGTGACGCCACACTTGGTGCCACTTGTCTGTCTTGATGCCCGAATTCCTCACCACCTCTAGTTCAACAGAGACGGGCATCACAAGAGTGTGGATAAGAGAAGCAGCTAGGGCTGCCCACAGAGGCCAGAGGGAATCAAAGCTGCCCAGAATGGAAGGCAGAATCTCACGGTCACTGACGGGGCACTAGGCTCATCTCTTCAGCTTCCTACAGCAGGGCCTACATTTCTTTGAGGTAAACATGTAAGAAAAGTCATACTTTCCTGCCAGTTTCTGACCCTTTCTCTATTGTTTTGGAAGTACTGAGGGTGGAGTGAGATTATAAAATAAAAAGACTGCAAAGCAGATGAATCAGACACACAAACAAGAGCTGGGAAGATGGCTCAGTGGGTAAAAGTGCTTGGGTCACAAGTAGGACAACCTGAAATTTGGAGTCTGGAATTCAAGCATGCCCCCAGGGGAAGATGGGAGATAAAGGCAGGGGAGTGTCTGGCAGCTCAAAGGACAGCTAGCCTGGTTTATGAAATGCTGTCTCAAATGAGACAGGTAAGGGCTGACAGCTGAAGACTGTCCTATGACCTCCACAGGTATGTTCTGGCACATGTGCGCCCACACCTCACTCTCCACACTAGTAACCACACACACACACACACACACACACACACACACACACACACCATAAAATTCATAAAAATACATTGATGTGGATTTTCCAGATCTCTGTCGAACAAAATTACCAAGAGAATTTGTTTAAACATAAGACTCAGGTTCTGTAACCAATTTTGACGGAAACATTTAGCTGTGTATGGTGGGACTTTAATCCCAGCCCTTTGCAGGTAGAAGGCAGATCTTTGTGTGTTCAAGGTCAGCCTGATCTACAGAGAGACCCTGTCTCCTTGTCTCTCTCTCTCTCTCTCTCTCTCTCTCTCTCTCTCTCTCTCTCTCACACACACACACACACACACACACACACACACACACGATGTTTGGAAAATACAACACAAAGGTCAAAGACAAAATGGGAGGAAGGTATCTGTAACAGATCTAGAAGTAACCTTGTAACCTTGCTAAGATAAAAGTTTCCATGGATCAGGAAGACGTCTAACATAGCACAGAAAAGGGCAAAAACAGTTGACAAGAAATACACACTGCCTTCCAATTCTTGCAGTGATTTTCTATGCCACTAGCAATGCAAAAGCTAGTAACTATGCCTCATCCATTACCTGGCTAAGGGCATCAAAGATGGGTAACATCTCTGCCATCACTCTTGAGAGTTGGGCATTCATCCACTCAAGACAGTGGTTGAGAGTATAAACTGGGTTTTAGGAAGGCAACTAGATAATAGATATTAAAATTCAAAATGCATGATGACAGAGGCTGCCTCTGAAGAACATATATCAAGATGGAAAAAAGGTTATGTGATTTGGAACCAATGCATAACTTAAAAAAAAAAATAAGGGCCAGAGAGCACAGCAGTTACAAGTACTTGTTGCTCTCGCAGAGGACCAGGTTTGGTTCCCAGAACCCACACTGTTGCTGGAAACCAACTGTACCTCTAGGTCCTAGGGAGCTGACCCCTTTTGATTTCCATGTGCGGGACATAGATGCGGTACACATACAAACATGCAGGCCAAATACTCATACACATACAATAAGTAAATTGAAAATTTAAGTAACCATTCAAGAAAAAATTCTGACTGAAGGTAAATACTCTGAAAAATGGCAAGAGAAGCAGGCCTAGATGGTTCTTTCCTGCCACTTCAGAGCTCGCAATTTCAGGAAGGTTTGTGTAATTGCTGACAGTAACTTGGTTCTTGTTGAAACATCTGGCAAAACAACAACCAAACCTCCCCATGTGACAAATATCTCAAGAAATGGGGTCTTGGATGTTTTCAAGGTGGAATTCACATCTTCAAACAAACAAACAAATCTCTTCAAGAGACACTAAGTGATTTCATGATGGAGTCACCACTGGTGTGCGAACTGGGGACTTAGTCAGCTCTGCAAGCGAGCAAGGGGCAGGCGACTCATCGGACCTGCTCCGCTAGGGAGCTTAAGCCATGTCTCCAAAATGCTGCCGATGCCCCTTAAGTCAGCTTCAGTGTGAGGATTCTGGATGATAGATATCGGTTCTTCTGTGCCCAGGTTTGTAAACAGTTTGGGTACATACATATCACATAGGTATTCTGTACGTTTGTGTTTTTGTTTTGAGGTAGATCTGGCATTAAACTCACTATACCACAAAGCAGTAGCAATCCTCCTGCCTCTGCCTCCTGAGTATTGAGATCACAGGCACCTGCTGGGAGGTTCATGTATTTAATAGGAAACACAGTTCCATAATATATGAGCAATGAGATAAATCTCACCCCGTTTTCCCTAGCCTCTCACTTCCCCTCCCACAGCTACTACTACTTCTTGCAAAATTCCCTGTTTGCTGTATTGCAAGCCTTAGTGCATGCCCCTTGATGAAAATCAAAGGCTGATGAGTGCTCCCATAACCAATTAAAAATACCCTCTTAAAATAGGGATTCCCTACTGAGACATGCTCTTCAGTGCTGGACTGTGCAACCAAGGACCTGCAAGTCCAGTGGCTTACCTCTTCTGTATCCTAGTGCCCTGTATCCCTACAACACTGGCTACAGGGTTGTGTGAACGGAGCTACTTTACTTTCCAACGCTGTATTCATTACAACTTTGTTCTTCAATACTTTAGAATTATAAGCTTCCATCTTATCTGAAAGTACATCGGAACTGTATCAATAACACTTGTGATTTATAGAATGGCAATCAACACTGCCTTTGAGAAACCAAGGAAAGCTCACAGGAAAAACAGACACACATACACATACACACACACACATGCCCATATAAAACACAGACACACTCAAACACACACACAGACACTCACACACAGATATACACACATATTACACAAATGCCCATACAAAACACACACATACACACATATGCATATACATACACTTACACACACATATCACATGCTCATACAATACAGACACACACACACACACATCACACACATACCCACACAATACACACAGATACCAGACACACACAAACTGAGGTCTATTCATTTCCAATGGATCAGAGAGACTAAGTTGCCTATGGACATTAGGTTATTCACAGTTAATTACACTTCAGAGCCGAGATAAAACATCTCCTGAAGAGGTTATAGCAAAGCATGGACAGAAGTGAAAAGGTGAGGTAAAATCAATTAGATGCTAGGAAAGCGTTCAGTAAGTACATCGGGAGTAACACTGAAATTTTAAGTCGTATGGAAAATTGTTTAAAAGTGTGATTATGTATTTCGATGAAGATAAATACAAAGTAGAAAAAATATTAAAGGTTTTTTTTTAATTTCATCACAACAAGTGACTATTCTTTCATTATTATTTCCCATGTACTTGAACAAACAGAATATAGACGATTTAACCTTAAACTTATTTCTAGCAGTGTGGACCTTCAACTAACAAAGACGAGAATGTAGTGACACAAAGACACAGTTCATTAAGAACAATCGGACCAAAGGTGATGTGCAAGCAAGCTGAAGATCAGCCAAGAGCCAAGGCAAAAGCAGCTCTCACTGCAGTGAACTGTGCTGAGGGCTTCTCTTCCATCCACTAGAAACAAAGACGACGCTGGGCCCCAGCCAACTGGGATGAGAGAATTCCATTCATTTTCTGTCTCAAATGTTTAAATTATCTCCTTTAAGAAATTATATGGAAATAATAAGTGTCTTAAATCAGCTCAACAGTTTGGGTGGATATATTTATTTTCCTGTTCCTTAAAGTGAGAGATAAAACAAAACAAAACAAAACAAAAAAACCAATTCTCTGAACTCAAAAGCGCCAGGATGAAACCAAAGGCAAGCCTAAAGTTTCAAATGCACATGACCTAACACCGTGGATTCCCTCCACATGGGAGCCCAAACTCTCACTCTTCTTGCAGGCGTCTTACCTCTAAGCTTAAACACCTTTCAACTTTCTGCTGAAAATTATTTTTAGAAATAAGAAATTCCTTTTCCGTCATCATTCCTTTTATGGGCATCTTCTTCAAACCAAAGTGGACATCTCATAATAATATGCTTTTACACTTTTGGTTTTTTTTGAGACAAGGTCTTATGTCACCTAGGCTGATCTCAAACTCCCTGTGTTGCCAAGGAAGACTTTCAGCTACTGACTGATTCTCCTTCCTCTTCCTCCCCAGGGTTACAGGCACACATGGGCCACCACACCCTGTTTCATAAACAATTTCTTATTTAATAAAAAAAGCACCTGAGTTTCTTTAAGATTTTTTATCTGTGAAGCCCACAGCCATTTTTTTAAGATCCTTTAGGGAGAATCTGTAGGGCTCTACCAGCCTCATTTGCCTCCGCTGCTAATACAAATCATGTGTAGGTTTTCGGGTATGTGGCAATGAGACAGCGCCCACAGGTCAAGCAGATAACCTTTGTTCTAACAACAGCAACAAAAGAGAAACATAAGCAAGACTGAATGTGTTGGAAACAAGAGCCTGAGTCAGAGATGCTATGAGATAATGCATGATTATGAAATGGAAACCAAATTGGACAAAGACTGTTCAGCCACAATGGTGCTAATTTGTAAAAACTAAACATGTATGTTCAGGAAGTTTTCTTAAAGAGGATTCCTAGATTTACTTGAAATTGATTATGCTGTCTAACAAATACAGGATTAGTTATGAAGCACTGTTTCCTATAATCTGAATGAGGACAACAGAAGGCTCCTGGGAGGGTAGGGGATTTGCTGAGACATACTAACTAGTATAAATTAGTAAATTTTATTCAAACCTAATGAATCCTTAAGACAGGATTGTGCTGTCTCATTAGGGAGTTTTATCATAAGACAATCCTTTGAGTGTACACTGCCACACTACCAAACAGGCAGAAGTGCTTCGGTTAAGGTCCCTCTGGGCAATGTGTCGCAAAAGCCCACTGGGTAAAGTCACCTCCCCACCTTCTGATTAGTTCTACTCTGAAAATTTACAGGGATTTCAACGCTGTTTTTCAGGGTGGCATGATATAAATGGCAGCAGACAAGAACAATGTTTAAAAAAAAACAAAGGCTGTACACAAGAACTTATGTTTATTGCAAACAAACAAACAAAAAGAGCGAGGGAAAGAGAGGATGGTGAGAGGAGCGGAACGTGTAAGGCTAAGAATTGAAAAGCGTCTTACATTCTGCCCTAATGGCAGCATAATTAATAGCAACAAATGGCCGTCTCGCTGCCTGCCGCAGCCGCAGGGTGTTTTTGCAGACCTGACGAGCAATTTTTGTGAAATATGTAGTATGAAGGAGGAAAGCTTGACGGGTCTTCACTGCAGACTTGGGGCTCCCAGTGTTCCGGACCGGCATGCCCTGCATGGCCTGCCGGGACAGGTGGCTTCTCACACGTGGGTCCTGCAATTGCGGAAAACAATGCGATTTACAGAGGAGAACTTGTCAGAGCACATGGCTACTTCCACCATGTTCAACGTCCTAGGAAGCACTGTAACTCGGGAGCCTGCCCGTTGAGGGAAAAGCAATGTACATGTTTGGTAAGAACGTGGGGGGTACAGCATGGCAGGATGGCACTCAATCCCAGTTCACATGCGCTATCGGTAAGAAGCTGCCAGAGTGGGACTGTTTACTGTGAGGAGTTCGGGGCTGGCATCGGCTCTACTGGGACCAGCTTCACTCTGGTAGACACTGGTGCTTGACATCCTCAATCTATGAGGATTACCAAGGTCACCCTTCAATTACTGTTGACCCAAGATGGGGCTCTTCTTGTCCCTCCACAACAGCCGAGGGAAGAGAATGTTTAATTCCTGCTTGGTATTTGATGTAATAAGGTTTGCAACAGTATCTAAAGGTTACAAGCTGTTTTGAAACTAAGACTGTTTATAAGCCCCCACTCAGGCAAGCGTCTCTCACACACCTTATCCTTTTGCCTGAATAATCTCAAAAGACCAATATTTTGAATACCTGAAAAAACATGACTTGCCTATGCTTCCATGTTCACACCCAGTCTGAGTGTGCAATGCTGTGTTTAACTCTAAAACCCAGCTTTGTTCATTTGTAAAGTGTCCTGTGTGGCATTCCTGCTTCCAAGGAAGCCAGTAACCGGGAAACATGGCGTTTTCGCCCCTGAAAAGACCACACTCACGTACCTCTGCAGTAGGGCTGGGAGACTTCTGTTCTTCTGACTGGGTGGGCATTTTCAGACCTCCATACTTTTTCCAGTACAGCCAACAGGTCGCACACAGTCTACACTGCATATTAGGTGGACCCCAGGAATACCACTGGTGAGACTGTGTGGCTAGAGACAGAGGGAGAGGGGTGCTATGAAATCCGTGGTCTCACACTCAACCTCAGAGACACCCTGAAGCCACAGCTAGTTTACACTGTTGTCTTCTTCCCAAGGCTGTAGGCCAGGCACGACGGTATAGCACACACATGACGGTATAGCACACACATGACGGTATAGCACACACATGACGGTATAGCACAGACATGCATTTTTCAGCACTCTGAATACATCGAGCCGCTTGTTTCTGCCACATACCAGTGTTTGTCACGTCTATGATGAGAAGCTATTGGATGACACATCTTGACTCGTGCCTTAGGTTGCTGAGATTTTGGCTTGTTAATTAAAAGTGATTTCATTATGTACATGTCTGGATACTATTGTTATTAAGCTCCTCAGCAGTGTTTAAAACCTGAACCGTATGCTTCAGAAGCTCTTGCAGGGATTAATAAGGTACTCAAGAAGGGACTCACTGGTAAGTCAGGAGCCAAATAAAACCAGAAATCTGTCTGTTTTTTTTTTTAACACGGGAAACAAAAACCTTACTTTAGAATTTCTTTCTAAACACAGCCTGTCCTGAAGACTCTAAATCCCTATCACTCGAGCACGTGCAGCAAACATGGCGTCATGCTTAGTAAGGCCTGACCCCGCTGATTGACTGGCTGGTTAAGCTTCTTCAGCTTAACCCTGTCCCTCAACACTAAAAGGAAGAGCTAGGGACAGGTGGGGACAGCGGAGGTGACAGGTAGTTAAAACCACAGCAGAGACTGCAATACCAACTCTGTGAACTGTGCTCCCCTTGTCTATAAGCTAACCATCTGGGAGAAGCCATCAGCTGGCATGGAGGGCGTCCTCTAAGGAAAACCTCATAAACAACATGCAAAGGGGAAAGTCAGAGCTACCGTACGGCTCAGAGGCAGAACGTACGCTGGGCATACAAAGGCCCTAGGTCTGATTCCCACTTCCATCAACTCCTAAAGAGCGAATTGTTTTTATACAATTCAGAATAACTTACACATTCATCAGGTGCCACTCTTTTTGGGGGTAGGGGTTTTGAGACAGGGTTTCTCTGTGTAGACCAGGCTGGCCTTGAACTCACAGAGCTCTGTCTGCCTCTGCCTCTTGAGTGCTGGGATTTAAGGCATGTGCCACCACCGCCCAGCCATCATGTATCACTCTTGGAAGATTCTTTTAAAGAGAAGCCTAACCCCCTTCTCTCTTTTAACTAAAACAAACAATAAAGTTGACTTTTTGAGACAGATTTCATCAGAACATTTTAATGCCATGTGTACATGAGTGCAAGTGCCCTCGGAGGCTGAGGTGCTGGATCCCCTGGAGCTAAGGCTACAGACGGCTGTGAGCCACCTGATGTGGGTCTGGGAACCAAACTTGGGTCCCCTGCAAGACCAGTGTGTGCTCTTAACCACTGAGCCATCTCTCTATCTCCCAGTTAACTGTGTTTAAATACAAATAAGAAAACCCAAGGTTGTCTCCTAGCCTACATACATGCACACACACACACACACACTCACTTCCATACATATGTGTACCCACACAGGAACATACACATACAGTAGAATATCAGTGTGGTGGCACATGCCTGTGGTTCAAATTCTCAGCAGGCTGAGCCAGGAGGACAGTGAGTTAGAGGTCAGCCTGGGCTTCATAGGGAGACCCTGCCTCAAAAACCCAACCCAAAGCAACAATAACAGAAAGGAGAGTTACTGCTGTTTGAGATTTTAAGTAAACATACATGGTGTCAACTACGGACCAGATCATCTCACCGGCCCCATAAAACACAAGGGCACACATAATAACCTTGCAAGCAGAGATAAATACAGCAAGGCTCGAGGCCAAAAGCAAATATCATAGCATGGCATTTCCCCAACTGGTTTCCTGGGAGCCTGAGGGCTGTAGCATTGGTGTCTCCACACCTGCCTCTCCTCCAGATGTATCAAGTACATTTAATTTGTGGGAGGACACTGAGAAAAGGTGATTTGCTATGTAGCACAGTACCATGGTTTGGGCTAAACTAATATAGCTGCAGACAGTTAAAAAGAAAACAACAAAACCTGCCAGCAAACACAGAGCCCACAGAGGAAACCAGAGCAAATGCACACCGTCCTTATCTGTGTGGTGCAAAGGTACCCAGCAAATGCCCCTTTGCTCCCAGTGGGAGACCAGGACAGGCACCCGCTCACTTTGAAGAGACACCACCTGCCTCTGTGCAGCAGTAACATGACTTCTAGAAGCTTCTCCCCTCCTGCCTTCCTCTGCCCCCCACCCCGGTGCAGGACAGCTCCCCCACCAAGCAGGCACCGCCTCTGAACAGACTCACCATAGCAGCTCTCACAGGCTCGCCCGAGGAGGGTGTTCTGGGGCTGGAACGTGGTCCCCACAGCTCCGTTCACAGTGCCAGACTTGCCATTGCTGGTGGATATTTGGTTGGGATTTGGTTTGCTGCTTTCAATGAAACGTAAAGTGGAATGATAAAAATAATTTGTAGGACAAGGCAAAAAGCTGGCACCTCCTTACTAATTTACCTTCACTAAAATACAAATAAATACTTATTATATTTAGTGAAGAAGAAACAGACCGGCAAAAGCAGGATGCTAAGATGAACCCAAGTATGGGAGGCAGTAGAAGAGACAGAATGAGAATGCAGGATAATGACAGGCGTGCATGAAGATGCTATGATGAACCCAGGACTTTGTACACTAACCTAAAAAAATGACAATGAAACCAAAAACTTAAGGAAGCACACACACACAAAACACCCTTAATACACTGACACACATGATTCCAGGAACTTACATAAGAGGGTGTATCTGGTGGAGTGGTAAGAAATAAATAAAAAGAAAGAAAACCAAGGCACTCATTTATGACAAATAAAGCTAGAAAACAGCCATTGTTTTCGGCGTCCCCTGTGTCTACACCAGTGCCATTTCTTCATAGCACACTGTGCTTTTGAAAGACAGGAGTCACTAGACTTTATCTTCATCATAAATTTTCCTGAGAGAATATTTTTTTTGCTTGGATAAATTAAGCTAAAGGCAGTGCTTTGTGACTGAGATAGCCCTGGCACCGCTCCTGGGGGGTGACACTGTGGCTTCTGCAGTGTCCCAGAGTGGGTAGGGTGGAGCAAAGATGCAGCTGAGCCATGTGGGGCCACCCTCCACACCACAGCGGAGGAGCACCTGTCCCGGGCTCAAGATAAAAGTCCATATTACGTTTGAAGTTTTATGAAACAGATTAGCATTTAAGATGAAGAAACCTTTAAATCCCTACCCCCATTTAAGAAAACACTTTTAGGAGGAAAAAAGACATGGGTCAGAAGACTAACTTAATTAGAGACACTGATAAGACTAAGTGCAAACACACCAGAGACGGAGTCAGGGCAGCCATAACTTTACACATAGCCCAGACATATCGTGGCGCTTACTGTGTAAACAGAGCTGCCAGCAGGCTAGCTCCTGCCCAGAGCTGGCAAATACAGAGTCAATGAATAGTCAACAAAGATCTGCCACAGGAGAGCTTTCTTCTAGGGGACCTTTCACCTCTGTTACACAGTGAGACAGTCTCAAACAAACAACAAACAAGCAAACAAACCAATAATAAATAAATGAAACAAGTTTTATTGTTGCTGTTTGTTTGGTTTGTTTTTTACAACAAAAAGAAAAGCAGTGGGGCCAGGCATGGTGGCACATGACTTTAATCTCAGCACTCTGGAGGCACAGAAAGGCAGATCTCTGTGAATTTGAGGCCAGTCTGGTCTCCACTGTGAGTTCTAGAACATCTGGGGTTATGCAGAGAAAGACCATGTCCCAATAAAGAAAAGGAAAGGAAAGGAAAGGAAAGGAAAGGAAAGGAAAAAGAAAAGTGATTCAGAGAAACTAAAGTTCCCAAAGAGGTGTAACTTTCCAATTGAAAAGGAGTCTACCATATAGCAGCTGAAATCATGCTTCTCACCACTTGAAGTCAAGCCAGAAGTTTCCCAGAAATATGGAAACTTGGCATTTAAATGCAGGGCTAAATATATGAGTCTAAGAAGAGCCCATGCTGGCCTGGTAGGAGGGTGTGGCAGTTAGGTGCACTTGCTGCTCTTGCAGAGGCCCTGGGTTTGATTCCCAGCACCCACACAGTGGCTCACAACCATCCATAACTCCAGTTCTAGGGGATTTGATCCCTCTTCTGACCTCCCTGGACAACACGCACACACATGATACACAGACATACAAGTGAGCAAAATGCTTATACACATAAAATACATAAATAAATCTAAGAGAAAAAAGAGTGGATGCTAGCTTCAGTCGAGGTGCCTGGACGAAGACAGGGGCACAAATGCAGCTGGCTGTGCAAATGGGTCAGGACGCTGCCTGGCTGAGCAAGTCACTGTTTGGAATCACAGCGACTACTGCAGAACCAAGGATCACTGAGGATAGTCACCTAAAGATTAAATCATGGACACTGAGAAATGTTTACAGAGACACTCCATGAAACTGTCCTTTCTTTAATCTACCCTCCCCTCATCTGTGCTTCAGACTCCTACTATCTTGGACCCCTGGAGAATTTTGGACTATTTTCCCCTGGACCCTCAAGTTACTATTTATACATAATGGGAGTTATGAATGGTTGAGAGTCACCATGTGGGTGCTGGGAATCAAACCCAGGCCGTCTGCTAGAGCAGCCCGTGCTCTTAACCACTGAGCCATATCTCCAATCCAACACTGGACCTTCTTAGGCTCGTGTATTTAAGCTTTATCTTTTCCCATTTGACAGATTCTCTCTCTGCCATTAGCTTGTCTCTGTTCACGAGCAGTTTCCGCCACTCCATGACATCACAGTGACTTCCAAATCACTGTTCCTCGCTGTACTTCACCAGCATCCAGCAATGCTCATTTCGCCCCTTCCTTGAAACACACCCTGCCTTTTGGTTCCCCTGACTCACTGGCTGTCCATGTGCAGCTATGAGACACTATTTGCTCTAGAAACATGGAACTGATTCCAAGTTCCCTGAAAAGCCCCTTTCCGGATGCTCTCCCCCGGAGATCTAATCATGATTTGAAGTGGCATCATTCCCTGTTCAAGTTTACAGTGTCTCCAGCTGAGCCCTTACCCCTGAGTAAGGTCAGTATGTTTAGTATGTACTGGACACATATTCACAATCATTTTTTGATAGAACAAACTCAAAATGTCCTAACCTGATACTCTACCACCATTTTCGAGCTTAGTGACTGGCAGGACAATCCACTCAATGGTGGACTCAAACGTGACATGCTGAAGTCAATTGCCTCCTAATACGGCATCATCTCCAGAGCTCTTTCCAGGTCAAGCTGGTGTCATCTCCCCTCCTGAGAACCCATAACTCGTCTCCCCATAAGTACGCCACTGCTTCCTGGATCCACGTTCCAAAAGCAACCTGCGATCTTTTTCAAGACCATGACATGTCTTCATATAAAATCCTTCCACTCTTCAAGTCATGGGGACCCCATACTACCTGCCCCCTCCCCACCAAGTTGGCTCTTTCCACACTGCCATACCATCTTTCTCTGGGCTCCTCAACTATGCCCAGCCCTGTACCAGCTCAGGGCACCATTGGTCTAGAAAGCCTGTGTTGGCTGTTCAGTACTTGTGCCATCAACGGAGTACTTCCTCAGAGACACAGCAAGCTACTCACCACCCCCCACCCCCACCCCTGCAAAGCTATCTTCTTGGTCACTGTTCTCAGTACACCAGGTCTGTACTGTGTGCCTCTAGGGGGCAGCTGCCTTTAATCTTCTCCCCTTACTAACACAGTGCTGTGACTGTAAGAGGCTGAAAGACACTGCTAGGCTCAAAGCATGACAAAGAGAATTCTTAATCTATTAAAAACCAGCATTCTAATTCAGAATTAACTTAGAAATTCACTGAAGGACTGAGATTGACATATACCCCAAAACCCAGCATATTTTCAAATAATGCATGTTGTTTATGAGTATGACAAGAACGTGCTTGTTCTCCAAGAATCACTTTGATCAGAATGTAGAAAACTTTTCCCGTAAGGGCTCAATTGTTAAAAAATTCAGGTTTGGGGATAACAGAATCACAAGCACTAAATTCTGCACTTGGACTGCAAAAGCAGGCTTAGACAATATGTAACGAACAGAGGCCTGTGCTCCAGTCAAACTTATCACAGCCTCGGGTGACGATTGACATTCTATCCAGACTAGTGTTGGGTCCCTGACTCGGATAAAAACAGCCATGGGCCACTGAGCCTTGGCCACTGCTGCTCTCTCTGAGGAGACCGCACTGCGGGCCCAGGGACGGCTGCTTCACAAGAGCTCATGCTTTGAGTCACAGTGTTTTCTTTGTGGGATGACACATTTAGAATCCGTAAAGTAAATATATAATTTTAAAGGATCTCAAAATGACCCTGCAGAAGAAAAAGAATAATTATGGGATGAGTAAAAGCCAGTTTTAAAAAAGTCAACCAAAGCCTAGCATAGTAGTGAATGTCTTTAACACCAGTGCTGGGGGGGAGGGGGTGGGCAGAGGCAGGCAGGTCTCTGCGTTTGAAGCCAGCCTGGTCTACAGAATGAATTCCAGGACAGCTAGGGCTACACAGTGAGACCATATCTTGAAGAAAAAAAAAAAAGAAAGAAAACCAAAACCAACGCGACCCCCAACACACAAAGAAAAACCAACAAAAAAGTAAGCTAGTTTTATGTATATACATCTTGAGATAAAAGATTATCATGAAAGCCCATTCGTCATTGTCCATGAAGCCTCCTATATGTAAAAACATGTATCATGCAATATACTCAAATCCAGCAAAGAAAAATGTATATAAAATGAGTGAATTTAACTCAAAGAATTAGAAAAGTCTTGGAGCAGCAGAGAAAGTTGTAGTAAATCTGAGTGACCAAATCTAAGACCTCAACCACAGAAGAGTGCAAGACACTGAAAACAACGAATAAGACCAAAACTGACATTCACATACATGACAATTACCTGTAAACCCGAAAGACAGAATGCTGGAAACACTCAAAACCTACCGACTGTTTACAAAGCACGGTCCCAGAAACAATGTAAAATCCTCAACGAATCATGCAAACAACATACCTCAAAGGATGATACACACTAACTAGACAGCTCTCAGCCCACAATGTGGAAGCTCTACGGAACACGGTTTGCTTCCTGTAACAGACTTAGCTCCTCTCACTGGGAGGTCAGACACTTGCCAGGTAGCTCAATGCAAGCAGTTTACCCCCAACCCTTCTGCCGGTTACTCAGGGTCCTGTCAGCTACTCTTTTCTTTCCTAAGTCATTTCAGTGGGACAACAGAAAACAACTTTTGGACTTTGAGGAGGAAAAAGGTAAGACACACAAAGAAATTCAGGTTTGTCATGATGAGTAAATGACGTTTGGAGAGACAGGACAAAGAGCAGGGTAAATATTTCACAAGACCAGTTACTTACTAAGTTGGGATATATACTTGTTTCAGTTTGCTCTCGGCTTCGGCTGCTTTTAGGCGTTTCTAATTCGAAAGATGGACAAAACAGTTTACATAAAATGCATACTAATTATTAACATCTCATAGCCTTAAAAACACAAGAAGATAAAGATTACAGCACAATTCTTATTTTAAGATTTCTATCATAAACATATTCTAAAGCTTTAGTAACTTAAGAACGTCATTCTAAGCTACAGAAATGTAAGCACACATAAAGTTTCTGAAATAGATTTTTAAAGTAAAGCAATGAAAAGTTCCACTTCCCAGTCTTCTATGAGGAAACGTGTGTGTGTGTGTGTGTGTGTGTGTGTGTGTGTGTAAAATTGAACCTGGGGCCTCGACACATGCTAAGCACATACTCTACCACTGAGCTTCATTTCCAGTCCTCAGAGGACATTAACAATAAGTGTTCTTAGATTTGTAAATTCAGTTTTCTATTTTAGTTCTTGTCTTTCTGGAAGAAAAATGTGCACATATACTATACCACCACCACCACCCCCCCACCCCCACAACAAGCAAAAACTTTGCTTGTAAAAAATATTTAGAGATAGTTCTAAAGCCCATGCAAGACTTGCAGTGAGGAAGACTGCAAGAGGAAATGACCATAGTTACTCTAAAAAAGTGCAGGGTTTACAGGTGTGCACCTCTACACCTGGCTCTGTAGCAACCTTAAACCTTGGCTGAGCTCACAGAAAGCTGTACTGAAGCCAACCGGGAGCCCAATGCAGGGAAAGAGAGGGAAGGACAGCACATCTCAGATCTAGGTCCTGATCAATGTAAAATTAAAGCAAACAGAAAGGGGAACAGCACACGGTCCCCAGAGAGTCTACAAACCCACCCTTCGGTTGCCCAACCAGATGAAAACAAAAATATTCAGGGCTAGCCTGAAACTTCAAATGGAGACAACATTTTTGGAAAATAATCTTTTCCAAGAACATTTAACTAAGTGTCTTCAGTGCTGTGCCCGTCCCTTCTTTGGGGACACTTCCTGACTTGAACAGCACAGGTTTCCAGGCAGCAGAGCCTTCATTTCCACCAGTTGTTTAAAATATGCACTTTCTGCATTACATATGGTGTTGACACTGGGAATTGTTCAATACACTGTGGATTTCTACCCACTATTCATGACCACGGCAACTCCTGGCATGTGGGAGCCATCCGTAAGATGCATTTGTAGAGCATCCAGTACAGCAAGCCGCTGGAGAGCTTGCACATTTAGGCAAATGCTGTCTGTTTTTAATCTCTGCCTTGTTTTGCATGTGACTGCAAGACTCTAAAACAGGTCTTTACTGAGGTCATTTCCCCCAAAGGTAGGTTTTTCAAAATAAGTAACTAAGAGCTATATGAATTTAGGACACTTGGGAAGAACTCAAACATTAAAGGTTCCCTACTTAGATAACTTTGGAGGAGAAAGCATCAAATTACAAAGACTAAGGCTACCATACCCAGGCTTGGGGGCAAACACCTGCAATCCTAGCACTCCAGGCTGAAGCAGGAGGAACTCAAGTTTAGGAACAGCCTAAGCTACCCAGTGAGACCCTGTCTCAAAATAACAAACGTGTTACAATTAAGGTCAAAAGCTGAGGGGAGGACTGGGTATGCAGCTCGGAGGCAGAGTGCCTACCTACCACAGATGAGGCCTTCAGTAGGCTCCCTAGCACTGCAGAGGGGACCTCAAACGGGGTAGGCTCTAGAGCTTGCAGAACAGATCTATAAAAATGTCATGTAAGGAGGTTTCAGAGAATCATAGAAGTATCAGAAAATCATAGAAGTATCTGATGGCATCAGGCTCAATTTTTAATCCATAGAACTTATCGTCCATGGGTTCATGACAGGGCTGGATTTCTAGTACACCCCACTTGTCACAAAGAGATGAAGCCCCAGCCATACAAGGGAAACAAGGTCTCTCGACCCACATCTCTCTATCATTGTTCTCAAATCGTCACGAAAGCAAATGCCGAGAACAGTGAACTATCAAGCTGAAAATATTAAAAAAAAAAAAAAGACATGAAATCGTGGAATTTAAGTAGTTCTAGGAAAAGTCAAACAGGCTCGGGATTGGTACATTGCTAACCAACACTGAACAAACAGAAAGCGTGCTGATGGTGCTGGTGTCACGGAAGTTACCTGCTGCACATATCTGTCAGTAGTTTTCCACATGTAGTAATATTCAATGATGCTCGTCAAGGACTTCCACGGGAGCTGAAAGACATTTACGATGATAATGAGAACAACCCATGGCAAAAAGTGAGTACCTTCAAAATCACTTATTTGAAATGAAGGATCTGTATATTAGACACATTCTAGTAATAAAATCTTTAATAAAAAACAAAATTAATTTTTAGCAAAAAGTACACGTTATATTTAATAAGAGATCCCATTCAACGCATGCATTCCATTCCTCATCAATTTGATTAAAAATTATAAACATCTTCATCACTGGGAAGATTTCCTGACTTACTCAGGAAAGGTTTTAGCCCCATGAATCACTGACAGGAGAGACTGAAGGACAATTAATTAATTAAAATGGGCCTTTTGCGTCATGCTAGGCAACCACACTGCCGTAAGCTATATCATCACCTCTGACACATAATTTTAGAAATATTACGTAAACAGTTCGAGGCTGAATTACTCTAACTTTCAAAGAGGTCACTGCAACTGGGTGTCTTCTACTGGGCTCTGGCGTAGTATTTCTCAAACCTTTCCTGACAGCTCTGTTTTGTTTTATTATAAATAAAACAACAGGCTACATCTCTGGGGAGAAAGGCACCTAGCTAAATGTGTTTTCTATTTAAAAAGTAAGTTTGCCTTTGCTGTTTTCCATAATACTAAAAACATCCTACTCATGAGTTCTAGAGCTAAGAAGACACTTCTCACAGCCCTCTGCAGATGAGGTCATTACCCAGACAACTGAGAGCGGTAGGCCTCCACAGTAACAGGGAGCATTGGCAGGGCCATCTTGAACTGTGGCCGCTGTTGAGAAGGGAACTCAGCTCTCTGACTCCCAGCACGCTGTAAGGAGGAGCCATTTAAAACCAAACCCTTGGACACCTAGGCTTGGGACCTACCTGGCACCATCCACACCAACCTAGACTCCTCCAACTAATTTCCTTATACGTTTTTTCTAAAGAGAAGCCAGGAATTTCAGAGAAAGGCAGAGTTCACAGCTGACTTGGACGGCAATTGAAACAGTAGCTACAGGGGCGTAAGTTTTGCCGTTTGCAGGACCACAGCACAGCCACTAGCTCTGGGATGCAGCTGAAGCAAATAGCTGTTCAGGATTTTCAGTTTTAAACCCAATGCATTCACCTAATGGAGCTGCCTGAAAGATGGTGAAAGGCATCTTTCAGCAGGGCCCCTGGTCAGCCATGCTGGGGTTTCTAAGCAGGCTAAGAGCCATTATTGTCTTCTCTCCTAAACAAACAAGGATCTGACAGGCATTTGTCTGGAAAGTCAAGAAAAGGAAGCCAAGTGGCCATGTAAGCCAAGCCATCATACACTGTGTCATCTGGTCCATGAAGCCTATACAGGACTAGCCTGGCACCAGCTCCTTCCAACCAGGGACAGTGGCAGGCAATTGACAGTTGAGATTCAGTGCCCCCTCTCTCTCAACCTCACTTAAGGCTTCAGGAGAGCTCCTGCGACACCCACTCCCATTTACATCGACACCTGTCAGATGGTGTCTTTCAGGATCAGTGAGGCAACACTGCAACACCAGCAATGACCCAGCGGACCGTGAGACACATTACACTCACCATCTGAATGGAAGGAAAGCTACTCCAGACAGCAGAGCATGGTGGGGCATGCCTCTAGCCCCACCCAGCTTTAGGATTCTGAGGCAGGAGGATCAAGTCTGAGGCCAGCCTGGACTACATGAGACCTTCTTTCAAACACCAAAAGAAGGAGGCTGGAGAGACACATTTAAAAAAAAAAAAAAGATTCATTTATTTATTATGTATACAGTGTTCTGCCTGCACACCAGAAGAGGGCACCAGATCTTATTACAGATGGTTGTAAGACACCATGTGTTTGCTGAGAATTGAACTCAGGACCTCTGGGAGTGTAGCAAGTGCTCTTAACCTCTGAGACAACTCTCCACCAGCCTCCAAAGAGAAATATTTGCTGCTCTTCAGAGGACCCCTGTTCAGTTCCCAGCATCCACACAGTAGCTTACAACCTCCTATACTTTCAGTACTGGGGGATCCAATGCCCTCTTCTGGCTTCTATGGGCACCAGGTGTGCCTGTGACATGCAGACACACATTCAGACCAGACACCTATATACAAAGAATAAAAGTAAATAGTAAAAAGAGAAGAACTCCAAGTCTTGTGGTTCAGATCATCTCTTATTCATTGTTGCCCCAAACAGCATAACTGGCTAAATATGCGGACATAACAAAAGGCAGCAGACCAAAAGGAACAGTTGGTTTAGTCACGTGCTCACGGCCTGAAGGATGCGAGAGCTGCGCGTGAAAATGGAGTAGCCAGTGAAGTCATGGAAATGAGACGTGCCAGCATCAAAAGGATAATGTGTCGCCTGGATACTGCAGAAGGGTCCCATGGGTGGATATGATGGGCTTGCTGGAATAATCCTGCAAGCTAGCCAGGCAGTAAAACCCATTAGGTGAGAATTGGGATGGGGGTGGGAGATGCTAGGAGAGCTAGCCGGGTAGGGAGACTTTCCTGGTGGGTGAGGAAAATGTCTAGCAGAAGCAGGAAACTCAGATCTCTGTGGTCCTGTGAGACACAGAGCTGCAAAGATGGCAAACACGGACACCAGTGCACGATGAAAACTCAGCAGTAAAGCAAGCCCCAAACCTGGGACAGCTGAATGGAGTCTGCACCCACCCCACCCCAAGACCTGAATGAACCAGACATGCTCATTTCAGCATACAAACACTATTATACTCAGTCTGCTAGTGTTTGTACAAGGTAACTCCACATCTTAAAAAAAAAAACCACACCAAAAACTAAAACAAATCCCATGAAATGCAAAAAAGCTAGACTATATCCCCTGCCCCCAAAATTAACACTGACTATGTTAGCTGAAAAGAAGGGCAATATTTAGGATTGCAGGAAATATGTAGGGAATTTCATTAAGAAAAAAGAGAAGTATGGTTGATGTATGATTTTGGCATGTGGATTCTGTGGCTTATGTGAAATGTGAGCCTTGGCCACTGAGGCTGTGTGTTAACATCACAGACTGTCGAGACTGTCTGGGAGCCACTGGGGACAATGGATCTATGTCTTGCCAGACTGGGAGCCACAGAGCTGTGTGGGGCTTGGGACCTGAGAATCGGGGATATGGCAGCCAGGGGTGGGCAGCTGAGCCACAGAGGTCATTTTGGCCATGGTTTTAGCCCCAGTGTCCCAGGCTTTGTTTAGGAAGTGTGGGGTTGCATGGCTCTGCCCTTCCAACTGCTTGCAGCTCAATCAGGTTGGATCTTTCAGGTCAAGGGAACAGGTTTAAAATCTTGCCTTATTTTTGATCCTCAGTGAGGCCTAGCAATTCACAAATGACAGCCACAGAGGGGTAGAGAAAGACACCGCACTCTATGTTCTCTGGTCTTCTCAGGAAACATGGGATTGCTCCTTCCACCACAAACATGCAAACCCACAAGAAAGATGACGCTGCTGCCATCAAGGGGATGGGTGCTGTGAGAAAAGGAACAGTCTACAATGGAAAAAGAGAGGAGCCTGCACCATCGTGAGCAAGCTAGCTAAGGGCAGGATTCCTGCCACAGAGCAGAGAAGCACCAAATTCTGAACTATCACCGGGAAACAAAGGAAACAGGAAACCCTTCACTTCAGCGTTTCTCATCTCATCCATTATGAGAGCAGTGTGTTTTTGTCATTGCCATTGAGAGAGGGTCCCACGTAGCCCAGACTGGTCTCAAAACTCACCAAGTAGTTGAGTGTGGCCTTGAGCTCCGGATTCTCCTACCTCTGCCTCCCAAGCACTGGTTTTACAAACACGAACCACACCATATTTGGCTCAAGATTTTGTTGTTTATAACAAATAAATAAAACCACTCACTTATTTGCTAACAAGCTAGGGGCAGTGATGCTGCATGCCTTTAATCCCAGCACTTGAGAGACAGAGAGGCAGGTGAATCTCTGTGAGTTCAAGGCCAGCCTGGTCTACAAGAGCTAGTTCCAGGTCAGGCTCCAAAGCTACAGAGAAACCCTGTCCCGAAAAAACAAAACAAAACAAAACAAATCAGAGGCAGTTGGGACCTGAAAAGCACATCTGACTCTTTTGTTTGGTCAAGGTTACACCTATGTTACAAATTCACATCAACAATTGGTAACACAGCTAGAGGAAGCAGAGCAGAGAGAGTACACACAGATGTAATATTTAGCACAAATAATCAGAACTGTCCATATTTCCTCTTGGAAATCAGAGTGCTGCAGAGGGTAAATTCATGCAACCAAGGTGTGTGTATTTCACCCTCCTTGGTTCCTCGCCCTGGGTCATAGTCACAGTACAAAGCAAATGTCAACTGCTTCCTTATAAGTGACCCTTCATTTTATTTTAAGCGAATAAAATCACTGTCAGGAGCTGAGATTGTGGCCAGTGGCAGAACACATTCTTAAGGCCCTGGCACCAACAAAACTGTTCGAGGCGTACTAACTGTGTAAGAGTTAACAAAAATAAACCAACACTTCAGTCTCCAGAACCCATACATGGTTTTCCACTTACAAAGTCCTGACGGATGTCATTGAAGTCTTTGCCATACTTCTCCAGTGCTTCTTCGAACAAGCTGGCTTCAGAGGCCGACCACTCCTCCATCTCATCTCTGCACAGGACTGGTCCTCCAAGTGGCACGAGGACGCTGATGGCACTGCTCAGGTCATAGCTGTGCCTGTACAGTGTATCCATGGCATGGAACTGGGGAGAAGAAAAGCGAACACGCAGTGTCAGGTGGGCACCGACAGCTGCAGGCCAGCGAGCACCAGAGCACTGAATGCAGATAAGCGTAATTAACAGTATTCTTAGTGGTTCCTTTTAAAAAACAAAATCAAACAGCCAAACACCACCAAATAATTGTTTTAAGAGAATGCTTACTGGTTAAAGAATGCTAAGGTGTTTTAAAAATACATCCATTTGGAATGACAACAACCATAAAGATCCAAATGCTCAAAATATTCAATTAAGAACACAATCAATTTGACTTCAAGATTTCATTTACTTAAAAATACCCACATCACTCCAATTACTGGGGAAGACTGGCATAACCATCACTGACTAGGAAGGCATACTATGCGCGAGAGAGAAAGTACTGTATTAAAAACACTGATTCAAGTTAGAGAATGATGTACTATTAAAAAGAACAAGAGATGGAAAGAAAAATCAGAATAGTGCATCATATTTAAAGCAAAACTATATATTAGGGCCAACGAGATGGCTCAGCAGCAAAGGTGCTTGCTGCAAAGCCTGACAGCCTGAGTTCAATTCCCTCACCCACATGGTAGGAGAGAATCGACTCCATGGCACATATATATTCACACACATACATATATACACATAAAATAAATACAAAAAAGAAATACATATTCATAGTAAACACAAAACAAACAAGATTACAAATCCACATTCTAATGTAACTTGGTTGAGACTTTGACCAAGAACAGACGAGCAGTCATGGTTATAGAAGTCAGGAGATGGGGACAGAGGTGAGGACATATTTAGGAGGGTGTGGTGGTTTATTCCCCATCATGCACCAAATGTTGGGCTTGACTCCATGCGCTCTACTCGGATATAAAATTTCAGAACTTTTGATAGTTTATTTACTGAAGAGAGAGTCCTTTACACTCTGTCTGTGCACAGAAGTTTATGCATACCAAGAAGACGGCAAAGTAGGACGGTCAGCCCTACAAAAACACACACGCGCGCACGCATACACATGCACACACACACAGACATGCACGTGCGTACAGACACACACGCACACAGACTGGCTGGCAAGGCTATCCTGCCTCTGTGTACATCCCACTATAAACACAGGCTTTGGAGCACATGAATGCCAGGCCTTGCATCTTTTACAGCATCACAACAGGGCAATCACTTAAAACTTCACAAGTGCACAGGATGTGGTAGCGCACACCTTTAATCCCAGCACTTGGAGGCAGAAGCAGGTGTCTTTGAGTTACAGTCAGCCAGGGCTACACAGTGAGAGTCGGTTACTTGATAAAACAAATACATTAAAAAATAATTAATTAGCCAGGTGGTGGTGATGTGCACCTTTAATCCCGGCATTCTGGAGAGGCAGCGGCAGGTGGATCTCTGACTTCAAGGCCAGCCTGGTCTACAGAGCAAGTTCTAGGTCCAACCAGGCCTATGCAGAGAAATTCTACCTCAAAAAACCAAACAACAACAATAATTAATTAATTAGTTAAAATATATATTTACAATTGGGCATGGTAGTACATGTCTGTAATCCTAACACACTCAGGAGTGAGGCAGGAGGATTACAAATTTGAAGCCAGCCAAGCAGTGAAATCCTACAACACAACAAGGATGCATTTACACCGTGAGACATTAGCCAAAATGGCCAATACGGGCGTAGGAATTGAACTTGTTGACAAAGCCAAAGGCAGCAACTGGTACAGATCTGTTTGGTGACTGAACAGGGTTTGGCATTGGCTTTAAAACAAATCTCTGGATTCCACAAAATGAAAAGCCGAGTAGAAAATGCCATTATCAGATTCCCCTGACAGTCACAGCCTGGCGACCGTGTGAGGTGCTCGTTTGCTGCAGGCACCGGTGCTCGGACAGCATTCCCTGAGAGAAGCTCTCCCTGCCGCCACGGCTTCAGAACGCTGGCCCTGCTCTTGCCTCCTGCTCACACCCGGTCAAGTTTCACAAGCAATGAGTCTGATTCTCTAGCCTCACACTCTAGACCCTGTGATGTAGCTGTTTCTTTTATCTCCAAATCTGAGTACTCTTTCTGACCATCTCATTATAAAAACAGAGAAATCAATAGTACCTAGGGAGTCGTCAACTAAGGATAGGGCCATAAACTGTTACTTTAATGTCCTAAATTGACAACAGGTAATAAAATTGAAAGACTAGGTAGTGTTCAAAAGTCAATCCCACCACTTGGGATGTGGAGGCAGGAGGATAAGGAGGTCAGTGTCATTCCTGAATATACTAAGTCTGTCTCAAAAAACCAAAAACAACAAAGCCAATAATTATACAAGGGCTCAGGTATAACTCAGCACCAGACTTGCTTGAGGTCCCAGGTATGATCCTCAATACCCCTCTAAGAATTTATGCAAATTAACTGTGACGATGAAATACCTCAAAAGGTAAAAGTTTTTATAACTAACTGGTACTTTGAAACCAAATGTCACAGAATTAAATGTGTTTGTCTTCATAGCACAAGCCATGTGCAAGGATGTCCACTGTCTCCAGCCATTGAGGAGGCTCAGTCTGCAGAACAGCTTCCAGGCTACCGACCAGCTCTAGCCAGCATTAAAACCAGGAGACTCATCTCAAATAACTGAACTGTAGCTTGGCGGAGAGGGCAGTGCAGTTGGTAGGAGCTGGCTGATATTCCTCAAGGCACCGCTGAACTTGAGGGGACAATTTCATGATGGAAACCACAGGGTTCTATCTCTCATAAGGCCCTTTAACCTCATCTTTCTGAGAGCTCAGAAAGCTCAGGTGTTGCTTTTGAATGGACTTTTGTGTGGTCTAAGTGTACTCTTTAGAAGCTCTAAGTAAAAGAACATAGTTTCTATACCCAAACAAAACAACATTCAGTAAAGGAAACAGCTGGGTGGTGGTGGTGCAAGCCTTTAATCCCAGCACTTGGGAGGCAGTGGCAGGCAGAGTTCGAGGTCAACCTGGTCTACAGAGCAAATTCCAGGACAGCTAAGGGCTACACAGAGAATCCTTGTCTCTAAAAACAAACAAACAAGAACAAAAAAAAAGGAAGAAAATTTAAGAGACCATACAAATTCAGTGGTGTGCACTCCAGAATACGGACTGGGAGGACACAAAGGACACTCTGGGGACCCTACACTATATCTACACCTAGTAGTGCTTTTACCCTGATGTATGCAACCATGAAGTTCACTCCATGAATGAGATATATTGTACATATATCTCAACTTAAAATTTGAAAACTAAGCATAAAACAACCCAAGTCCCCCTCAGATAAATGCTTCGCAAAGACCACATCTTTTCAATAAATACAAACACACGTTGCAAGATCCATTCAAATCTAAATTTTGAAAATCACAACCAAGCACAAGCTGTTCCCTCTGCCAAAAAGCAAAGGTGTTGTCACATTTCATCCCATTCACAACAGATGGCAGTGACAAACAGAAGTATTTTAGGAGGAAGACTGACAAGGAAGTCTCGGTGGAGGGGTTTTCATTTTTTGTTCATTAAATAGAATCACGCTGTGGCAAACTGGTTTGTTGGTCGGCAAACATTTCACCTTCTGCCCTGGACCTCCCTCCACAGGAGGCTACTCTGCCCCCACACAGATATTGGGCTTTGGCACATGATTTGCTTGGCCAGTAGTATGTTAAGATATAGGACATAGCTGGGCAGTGGTAGCGCACACCTTTTATCCCAGCACTTGGGAGGCAAAGGCAAGGTGGATCTCTGAGTTCAATGCTAGCCTGGTCTGCAAAGTGAGTTTCGGGACAGATAGGGGTACACAGAGGAAACCCTGTCTCAAAAAAAAAAAAAAACAAAAAACAAAAAACAAACAAAAAGAAAAACAGAAGAGAGGAGGATACACGAGACAACCAATCTTTGTGTGTGTTTGTGCATTTGGCCTTGGTCTCTTGTGCTACTGCCTTGTGTTCACAGAGGCTAGGAGGCTAGGAGATGCAGGAGAGCGGACCTGGCCCAACACGTAGCTTGGCTGAGTCTAGTTCACCGGAATCCCAGATGATCTGCAGCTGAGCGGCTGAGATGAGGCATGCACTGGATAAGCCTCTGCATTCTGGGGCAGTGTGTGAGCATGCCACTTGAGAACCCACATTCGTGGAGATACTCCAAGTTCTGCGGGTGGCCACCTTCGCAGCTGGTCTGGCTGTTTCAGCTCAAGATTGATGGGTGACGCAGGGCGTAAGGGCCCCGCTCTGAGACAGCGCTTCAGTGCACCCCATCAGTTGGCTGCATTCAGACTTCAGGGAGGACATCCTCTGCTAGTTTTGCAATCTGGCCTGCTTCCCCTGCACTACAGTAGAGTGTGGCCTGAAGCTTACTAGGCTCTGCTTTCCAGGGAATGCACACTTCACATGTGCCCTCACTGCACAACACTACCTCACATGCACATGATTAAACAAATTAAACAAATTACTCATTTGTTCAGGCACAATTTCATAAAAACCTTAAATTTTTAAAGCCAGCACAAATTACAGCATTCAAGATATTAAGTCAGTTCAAAATGCACTGAACTCAAGCTTTCTCTCCAAGCAGAAGAACTCTTAGGAATAAATCTGAAACTAGGATACAAACAGAAGTTTTTATATATAAAAACTGTATCATCCACTTGCAATTTTTGTTTCAGTGGGAACAAAATACAGAGAAGGTCATATTTCCCTTTTTTTAAATAGGGAAAGGATTTACTTTTTAATTGAAAATATTATTTTCTCATACAATATATCCGATTTCAAACCTCAGAAGAAATTACAGTTGGGCATGGCGGTGCAGACGAATAATCCGAGCACTTGGGAGAAGGAGGCAGGAAGATCAAGAGGTCAAGGTTAGACTCAGATATATGCTGAGCTTCAGGTTAGCCTGGCTATATGAGACGGCCTCAAACTACACTCCCATACCCCTCTGTTGTACAGGACTGTGCTCTGAGCCCAACTGCTGCCACCATCCTGAGCTCAGTCCATGTGCATTCATCACAGCTAGACTTG